AGATGGAGGGAGGTGACTTAGTAAATTACTGAGGATAAAGGGTAATTATAGGATGGAGGAGGACACTGGGGTAGTCCAAGCTGAGGGAGTGGACCCAAGGAAGGATGCACTTGGGAGGTGGCCTTTCCCCGGGGGGGGGGGGGTACAGATGTGGTTGGAGATGGTGTTAATTCAGGCGGCCCGGGGTGCCTGGGTGGCTCAGTTGGTGAAGCATCTGCCTTCAGCTCAGGTCATGATCTTGGGGTCCATGATCGAGCCCTGCATCGGGCTCCCTGGTCAGCGGGGAGCCTGCTTCTCCCTTTCCCTCTGCCTGCCTCTCTGCTTACTTGTGCTGTCTCTCAAATAAATAAATAAAATCCTTAAAAAAAATAAAAAATTCAGGCTGTTGGAAGGCAGGGTGAGAGTTGGTCTGCAGGCACAGGGCAAGCAGAAAGTGATCTGGTGGCGCAGGTGGGGCGACGGGCCCAGCCGGTGGTTGACACATTGGGTGTGCAGTGGGATTGGGACACTGGGGGCTACAGTGACAGGAGGACCTCGGGTGACAAGCGTGGACATGAGGGATCAGGGTGCTGGTGGCAGAGGAGGCAGGATGTTCATGTTGCGAGAGCCCCGGGAAAGTCTCTGCAGTGGGGCTTGGAGGCCTCCAAGGGCTGCACATCCCGGGTGGGTGGTGGGGCAGAGCTCCACTGGGAGGCCTCCCACTCAGGCTGCTGATCCACAGGGTCAGCCCAGGAGAAAGCCCTAGGAGAAAGACCCTCTCCTCCAGTGGTGTCCCCCCAGTGTCCTCTACTGAGAAAGCGTAGCATTGTGCTGGCCATAGAGGAGTGCAGAAGGGAGCTCTGTCCGTTTTCCCAGAGCGGGCAGGGAAGCAGGCCCTGGAGCTGAAAGGCAAGGGGTTCATAACCGGCAGGAGGAGGAGCCTGTGGGAGAACTGTGTCAGCAGGATGACGGCCACTGCTCTCAGGGCTCTCAAGATCGCTCTGACACTATGAGATGATGAGAGCCTGGGGAGAAAAAAAAAAAGCTGGAAAGTAATTGTGCTGATGAGGCCGTTCATGGCAATGCACGGTGCTCTCAGGCTCTCAGCTCAGGATCTGGGTCCCACAGGCCTGGGCTTAAGGCCAGCTTCCCCCACTCAGCATGGAACAAACAGATGTTGGCAAATCACGGAGTCTTCTCGGACTCAGTTTCTCCACTGAAAATGGGGGCGATGCTCATAGATACCATGCAGGATTATCATGAATATTAAATGAAATAATGCATTTCTTTTTTTTTTAAATTATTTTTTAACAGATTTTATTTATTGACTCATTTTAGAGATAGAGCATGGGTGAGTTGGGGGCAGGGGGCAAAAGGAGAGGGAGAGACAGAATCCCAAACAGATCCTGCCTAGCGTGGAGCCTGACGCAGGGCTCGATCCTATAGCTGAGACCATGACCTGAGCCGAAATCAAGAGTCAGATGCTCAACCGACTGAGCCACCCAGCGCCCCAGTGCTTTTTTTTTTTTTTTTTTTTTTTTAATGTTTGGTTAAAGACAGTGCGTTTCTACGTCTGTAATATCTTGGAAATCTGTACCTGCTGCCCCCACTCCTTGGACCGCCATCGCTGCCTGCCTTGTTGATGACAGTAGCTTCCTGAATGACCCCCTGTTTCCACTTTTTTTGGTTAACGTAAGGTTTATTAAGACACAGTTCCCATGCCCTGCCATTTGCCTCTCTGAAGTGTATGATTGGCCGTTCTGAGTACATTCGTACAGTTGTGTAACCGTCGCCACCATCGATATTCGAGCATGCCCATTTCCCCAGAAAGGAACCTCACACCTCTTGATCTGTTTTTACTCTTTTTATTTTTTAGAAAACTTTTTAAAAAAAGATTTTATTTATTTATTTGACAGAGAGAGAGATCACAAGCAGGCAGAGAGGGAGGCAGAGAGAGGGGGGAAGCAGGCTCCTTGCTGAGCGGAGAGCCCGATTCGGGGCTTGATCCCAGGACCCTGAGATCATGACCTGAGCCGAAGGCAGAGGCTTAAGCCACTGAGCCACCCAGACGCCTCTCTGTTTGTACTCTTAACCCACTGCCGCGTCTTCTCTGCTCAGCCACAGATGGGACTTTTAAAAATGTCAATCAGATCACGCCACCTCCTGCTTGTAACCCTTCAGTGACCCCGGACTCCCGGCCCCAGAGACAAGGTCCAGTGTCTTCTGGCCTCTCCTCCTCCTTCCATTTTCCTTCCCCCTTTCCCCTGTGGTTGGTAAACATCAGTCTTTCTTGGCAGGTGTGTAACCACGCTTGTTCCCACCTGTGGATCTTTGCCCTTGGGACTCCCTTCCACTGTGCCCAGACTGCTTCCTTGCGTGGCTGTGGCTACCTGTCCCTCCACCCAGCTGTCACACCAGCCTCCCTGACCACCCAGTCTTCCCGAGCCACACCCCTCCCCCACGCCCTCTCTTGCCCAGGCCTTATTTTATTTTGGGTGGTTGTTTATGGTCTGTCTCCCTGCACTAGAGTATAAGCTGCAGATGGGGGAGGACCTATCTGTTGTGTTCACTCCTGAATGCCCAAGTGCCAGGGGCGGGCCCGGCACACCGAGCACATGAGACCTAGCCGGTGAATGAACAGGTGACAAAAAAGAGGCAGTGATTTGCTTGTCTTACGTTATTTTTGTTGTTGGTGTTCAATAAACACTGTTGACCTGAGAGTCGGATTGATCGTGTATGGGAAGTGTGTGGGGTATACAGCGTGGCTGGTGCGAGGAGAGAGTAAATGTGGTGACCCTCAGATCGGCTAAATGAGATGGCCTTGTGGCCAGTTATTCTGGGCTCGAGTGACACAAAGTTTTTATTTTATCCTGTGCTGAACACTTACCCTGTTTTGCAGTGGGATTGTGAGGAAGGAGAAGGCAAGGATCCTGTTCCAATATTCGGTCCCTATAGGACCTGGAGTAGTACTTCGTACCAACTAGATACTTCATAATGCTTACTCTGAGGAATGCAACGGCATTGAGTCCCTGGATAATATGAAACATTTTAACTAAAGAATACATAGCACAAAGTTCTCCTTGCTTCCTCCTTCCCAGGGGGAACCAGTGCTGGAGATTTCCTGCACTTGAAGCATGTCTGGGTGCGTATCCCCTTGTGTTCATGCAAAGAATGGCATTCTGGAAACGTCTTTTAGCCTCTTGCTTTTCACTTTAGCTTACCTTGCAAAATGCGCCATAGTGCATACAGCTCGATCTCCCCTTGACTCTGCTAAGACAACTGTGGCTGTTCCATGTTCATTTCACCAGCAACCCCCCCCCCCAAAAGTCAGTTAGGTTTGTTGCCAGTCTTTTGCTGCCACAGTGCCGGCTGCAGTGACGGTCCACCTACTTTGGGCTTGTGTGCAGATCTGCAGGTTAAGTAATAAATGGCTCAACCTGATAGTTAGCCGTGCAGAGCCTGCTAAAATGACACAGACAAAACACCGACAAACAGCGGACCTGATGCTTGGTTTTCTGAAATCCGTTCTTCAGCTCTGGATGGGGAGATTCTGGTTCACCAGCAGGATGGCTTCCCCAAATAAAGAGTGGTGCTCCCTGTCCCGTAAGTCCCCCCTCCCTCCTTCCTGCTTCCTGTGCTCATTCAGCACTTAGCCTGTGTCACCTGATGGCCCGCATGGATGCTTCCCATCCATGGGCACCAATTGGACTCCTCGAGGCTTCTGTCCCTGGCCTTTGGACAACTTAGAACAGAGCCAGCACAGATGAGTTACTAGAAGTGAAACCTGTCCTTGCCATGTATACTCTACCCAAGCACCAGTTTACTGGAACGAAGATGCTATTTTTAAGAAAGAGCTTTGTGTTTCATCATGGAAGTTCTGAGCACCTGGGCAGGCAGCTTGCTGATGCCCAGGGACCGTGTTTGCCAGATCTGTACCCCAGCACCCCACCAGGACCTGCCTGGTCCATAGGCGGAGGGGAGAAGGGTGGGCTGACCAGTGTTTACGTAAGTCATAATCTCCCTGTCTGCTTGGGGTTGGCAGGATTGGGGTTTCTCCCTCCCGGCCTGTGGGGGGGGGTCAGAGGCCAACAATTCGGCATGGGGTGTTTCCATCGCAGTGCTTACGAGGGCTTGTGATTCTTGAAATGCTTTGTGTATGGGCTTTCCGGAAGGATGAGCTGCCTTTTTTTGGGGTGTTTTCAGAGTGTCTTTGTTCCCCTGGAGCTGCCCGCATTGCTCTGCTTGGTGCGGGCCACCCGGGAGCAGGTGCACGCATGAGCTGACCTCACAGGACAGTCCAGACAGCTGGGGGAATGGGGGCGGGGTGGTCATTTGGCTGGCAGCTGGCATCTGGCCCGGCTCCAGAGGACGCCAGGCCCTGAGCCATTGTCTTCCTGGCTGGCTCCTCTGGGGTGCTGCAGAAAGGAGATCTGTGTATGGAGAGGAGATTCTCCCCCTCCCCCTTTACCTGGTTATCTTGGCAGAACCAGCAACCTTGACAGCATGGGGTGCTGGAAAGATACTAGGTTTTCGAATGAGATGGAGGGGGTTCAAGGCCAGACTCCCCTGTTTCTCACCTCCTGGCAAACTTGGGTGCTTTATTTTTTATTTTAATTTTTCAAAGCAAACAGACTTTCTTTTGGGTAATGAGAATTGCCATTAGGGAGACACAAATTGAGGTAGAAATCTGAATTCGGTCCTCCTTGGGTGCCTTATTGAACTGTTTCGAGGTTTCCTCTCTCATCAGCAAAATGTGAAAGTAATAGTGCTAATGTGTTGCTGTATCTTTACTTTTTTAACCTAAATCTCATTTTAAAAACGAATCTTACATTTTGAATTAAGTAATTTGTGCTTGGGCGCAAACCAGCCTTTATCTGGATCATAGCTTTTTAGAACCTGGGCTCTGTTTTCCCTTCTCAGACAGCTGTTGTCCTGACTCAGTGCAGATGCTCGAGAGAATATGGAGAAGAGCAGGCAGGTGTGGATGTGGCCTTGACAGTGTGACGCGGTCTTTCCCACAGGTGCTGCGAGTGGCTGAGATGCTGTGGTGGAGGGGAGCCCAGGCCCCGCACAGTGTGGTTGGGGCATCCCGAGAAGAGGGACCAGAGGTACCCTCGAAATGTCATCAACAACCAGAAGTACAACTTCTTCACCTTTCTTCCTGGGGTACGTACGGCCGGGGCCATTTTTAGGAGACCTAGGTCCCCGTGGCAGAATAGCCTGTGTGTTTTCTAGACTGCCTTAGCCACTGGCCATGCATCTTCCAAAAACCCCAAACCACAAAACCCATAAAAACCCAAAACCCATCAGTCCCTAAATTCCACACCCCCCCCATCATGAAATGCACATTCGCCCTAGGAACGTCAGGAGATAGATATATAGAGAAAATTTTTAAGAGGTAAGTTTCATTCCTGCCATCCAAGGAGAGTATCTGTGGATATTTTTGCTAATGAATGTTTCTGTTTTGCTTGGTATTTTATGCACTGGAGTCACTGCATTTCCACATTAACTTAGACCAATCCGCGGATGTGTACTCTACAAACCCCTCCACCCCACCCACCCCCCGCTCCCCATACTTAAATTGCATATCTATTTATATCCAGCAGAGCCTCCAAACACACACCAGCTGACTTTAGAAGCAGCAGCAGCAATCTGTTCCAGTGCTGGAAGGAAAAAAAAAATAATGACTCTTTGATTTATTGAGAGAGAGTCCAGAAGCACGAATGTGTAATGCTGTCGCTTAAGGTCAGTTGGAATGTTGTTTTAGGGTGACTCCGACTACACCGATTGCTACCTTCAACTCCCCCCAAATCTCAGTATCTTAAATCAGGAAAGAGTTTATTTCTCATTGATGGACATTCTGGTGTAGTCGGGACCACTGTCTTCCGAGTTGTAGCTGCACTCTCTGGACTACGAGGCCAACCACGTGTCCATGACTGAGCAGGAGTGAGGCAGCCAGAAAATGGCTGTTAGTTGCCTTCACCCCAGAGAGACTCATCATGTCTGCCCAGAGCCCCAGACAAGTCCCGCAGCGCCAGTCCACACCCAGGGTGCGTGGGCTCAGTCGGGCTCTGCTGGGACCCACCTCCACACGGAATGGGATTCTGCTATATTTACTGTATGGTGTTGAGATCATATTGTGGAAATGATGATTTACCTCGTTTTCTTTTCTTTCTTTTCTTTTTTTTTTTTAAGATTTTATTTATTTATTTGACAGACAGAGATCACAAGTAGGCAGAGAGGCAGGCAGAGAGAGAGGAGGAAACAGGCTCCCTGCCCAGCAGAGAGCCCGATGTGGGGCTCGATCCCAGGACCCTGGGATCATGACCTGAGCCGAAGGCAGAGGCTTTAACTCACTGAGCCACCCAGGCGCCCCTTACCTCATTTTCTTGATCAATCTTAGAGTAGAGGTATTTTCCACTGAAACCTCCTCTTCATGTTTTGAGGGGCCCACCTGTACTCCACATGGTTTTTAAGAAATAAGTCATAACAGATAAAGTTGAAGCCTTCCCCCGCAGCCCCCAGGGTACCCACTCTTCCTGAAATTTATCATTTCCGTGTGTATCATTATGTATATTTTTACTTTGATTAAGGATATTTTTATTGCCCGTGTGTATTTTCCTGAACAATCTGTAGGAGTGTTTCAGGTTTCCACGGAAGGTACCGTGAATGTTGCATTCTTGGGTAGGAATGCTTTCCGCGGCGGTCCCCTCCTGCAAAACCTCCCCCACCCCACCAGACAAGGCTTGACAGTCTTCCCTCTCTCCTTTCTCCTCTTTCCAGGTGCTGTTTAACCAGTTCAAATACTTCTTCAACCTCTATTTCTTACTTCTGGCCTGCTCTCAGTTTGTCCCTGAGATGAGACTCGGTGCCCTCTACACGTACTGGGTCCCCCTGGTAAGTAGGTTGGCCTGGTTTGTTCAGTGACCTCGGGGCTTTGGGAACAGACACTTCTTTACCTCTGTCCCCCGGGCATCTGAAACAGGCCCTTTAAGAGAGGAGACCCCCTCCAGCCCCACGTGGACGCCCCCGTTCAGGCACCCCCAGGAGCAGAGTGTGGTGAAGCCTGCATTCTTGATTCATTCCGTCCGTCGGTTGCTCAGTCATTCATTTCTTTAGCTACTGTGTATTGCGTACTTATTGTGCCTTTCACCCCCTTCTAGACTCTGGGCACACAGTGGCAAGCAAGAAAGACAAAGTTTCTGTCTTTGTGGGTTATACTATTAAAACGGTTTTCTGAGATCGCATTTTCTGTTTATGTAGAGTCTGTTGGCATGACGGTTTGAAAAGTCCCGGGTTCTGCGCTTTGTGTATGAAGTCAGACGGAACTGGCCAGAATGCCCCTCCATTCCCTTCCTTCCCTCCTTTTGGCAAGTGGTTATGGAGCACCAGCTGTGTGCCAGGCACTGTGCTGGGTGCTGGGGACACTGTGCCGAATGAAACCAATAAAAACTCCTGCCCTCGTGGAGCTGGTTTTCAGAGGGGATAGACTGTAAACAGATGAATGAAATGATTTTGAATTGTAGCAAGTGCCACAGAACTTATAGAATGAGGTCACAGGCTAGATGGGCAATCCCAGGCACGTTTAATATTTGTTGAATGGATGAAGGTGGGGGAAGGAGGTGTGGGGGGACAGCCTTAGCTGGTGTGGCCTTGGAAAGCCTCTTGAGAAAGGGATGGGTGGAGGGGTAGGAGGGCAGGAGTATTCCAACTACAGGGACCAGCAGTGCAAAGGCCCCGCGGCAGGCATGTGCTCAGAGCACTGGAAGAACAGAAGGAAGCCCAGTGTGACTGGGGGGTGGAGAGGGTGGAACTGACAGCTCTTCTTCAAATAGAGGCTGTTTATTTCTCACTGAGTTAGGTGGGACTTGGGGGAGAACTCGGATTCTCTGTTCGCGAATATTGTTTAAGTTTTAATTGGGAGAAGACTGTTAAAGTAGAAAAGATTTAAGCCTTCCTTCAAGAAATAAGAACAGACTTTTTTTTTTTTTTTTTTCCTTCAGTGGCAGGTGGGAGAGGATGAGGATTTGGTGGCCGGGCACTTACCGTGTAGGGGGGCCACTTGCTAAGGGATCCCTGAGTGCGTGGGTGTCCACACTGTGTCGTGTTGGTGGACAAGTCCAGCCAGCAGCTCCGGACCTGAGAAAGGAGAGGGGAGTCATTTTCCCCATGCGGACAGGAGAGGTGCTCTGGGGATGTGTGGACTGTTCTGTCCTGCTCTCATTTGTAGGTGAGCCAGGACTCTGGCAGCGGGAGCCAACTTCTGTTCGCATCCTTCCCTGGCATGACAAGCATTCCGGTCTGTGCACTGTGTCCTTACCCAGGGAGTGGCCCGCTGCAGACTCAGGGGCTGGGCTGACACCGTCCAGCAAGGGGGAGCAAGGGAGCTCCTGTCCCATCCAATACGGAATGTACTGCTCTGTTCCCACAGGTGTGGACGTGGGCCTGGAGTTGCCAGACCCGAGTCAGAAACTTTAGAGTTTTATATGAAATACTTCAATTTTATTTGTCTTTTTTTGTTTCACTGTTTACTATATAGCTATACAGACTCAAACCCTGAGTTGCTTATTTTTAAAAAGTTAGTCTCTAATGTGCATAAAATATAACTTGTCACATTGCCTTTCATGGTTCCCTTTTTGAAGTGCAGTTATTTGAAAGGTAATGCATTCACTTGGTGCATGAAACATAAAAACACTCCCGGTGAAAATCTCCCTCCTTTCCAGTCCAGGGGAGCTGGAGCAAGTGATGGGGACTGCGATGGCCTAGAGAGTCCCCCCCACCTAAATTAGAGGGCCTGGCCCCAGCCCCTGCCTCTGTTTCCTCACTGAAGTGATGCCTAGAGTTTCCTGGAGAGATCTGACCTTCGGTGCACACTGTCACTGTGGCCCCTGCCACTGCTGCCGTCTCCCCGCTGATGCACCTGATTCCCTCAACTGTGGCCACAGGTGGAAACCAGGCCGGTGAGCAGCAGCCGCTCGTGGCCCTGAGCTTCCTGCTTCTGCATCTGTGCCTCGTTTTACAGCCAGCTTTTCCCGTGAAGGCCAGGACTGAGGGCAGTTTTTCCTCTTCCCAGGGGCTGCAGAGAAGGAGTTTTGGGGTCAAAGACAAAGTAGATGGCATCTATTTCTAGGTGACTACACCTGATTTCCCCTAGTTTTTTTTTTTTTTTTTTTAAATATTTCAGAAAATCCTTTTTTTAAAAAAAGATTTTATTTATTTATTTGAGAGAGAGAGCGTACATAAGAGACAGCATAAGGAGGGGGTAGAGGGGGAAGCAGGCTTCCTGCTGAGCAGGAAGCCTGATGTGGGGCTTGATCCCAGGACCCTGGGACCATGACCTGAGCTGAAGGCAGATGCTTAAGTGACTGAGCCACCCAGGCGCCCCTCATTTATTTATTAGAGAGCATGAGAGCATGAGAGTGCGCACAAGCACGGGGGAGGGGTTGAGGGAGATGCAGACTCCCCCGTGATCAGGGAGCCCGAGGAGTGGACTCCATCCCGGGACTCTGGGATCATGACCTAAGCGATAGGCAGACGCTTAACTGACTGAACTACCCAGGTGCCCTCCCCTAGATTTTTTTGTGCGGAGTCTCCGCCCACTTTGAAAGGCCTCTCCTTCATCTGTAAAATGGGGACAATCATGTCTACTTCTTCGGCTTGTTGGATGCATTAAATGAAGTACTACAAATAAGAAGCCTCCTTTGGCTCCCAATGGACAGAAAATTCTCAGGACATGCTCCCATTTGAATGTTAAAAATCTGGCACTAGTGACATTGCTCATTGTCTGGATGAAGATTTAATTTAGTTTTGTTTTTTTTTTAAGATTTTTTTTGTTTGTTCATTAGAGAGTGAGAGAGCGTGAGAATGAGCAGGGTAGAGGGTTAGAGAGGAGGAGAACGTTCCCTGCTGAGCAGGGCACCCAATGTGGGGTTTTGATCCCAGGACCCTGGGGTCCTGGGATCATGACCTGAACCGAAGGCAGATGCTTAACTGATTGAGCCACCCAGCCGCCCCAAGATTTAGCTTTTGATAACATTTTCGTGGTATTAATATCTTAGATGCACAGATACTGTGTTCGCGATGCGGTGAGCGTTGAAATCTGTCAGCACCCGTGGAAACAGCACCTCGGTCAAAATAGAGTACGTTTTCATCATCCTGGTTCCCTAATGCCCCTTTCCAGTTGCCCCCTCCTGAACCAGAGGCAACTGCTTTTCTGATTTCTAGCTCATAGATTTGTTTTGCTTTAGTAAATCTATTTTTGACACACAACTTTACAAAGGGAGGCTTACCACCTTCAGAATGGCTTTGTCTGGGCTCTCATCAGAGGCTGTCACTGCCTCCGATTCCTTTACAAGCTCAGACAACCCCAGGCCTCCCTGTTAAAGCCTCTCTCTGACTGTCTGTGGCTGTGAGGGGCCTCTTTAGCTGCAGAGTTGGAATTTATTTCGGGACTACATTTGTATCTCTTTGTGAAGGCGTTTTCTACCCTAAGGGATGGCCTGTCCTCTGGGATTGATGGGAACTGTGTGTTTGGGGGTAGGGCCGGGGGAGAGCAGATACGATAATTCAGGAGGCAGCAGGGTTGGTCAGAGGCTCTGGTCTCTTTGGGAGCACACACGTTCCACCAGCCATCGATGGGGTTTAGCTGGGCCCACGCAGAGAGAAGTAGAAACCGGAACATTTGAAAAAACAAACAGCAAGCACCTGGGTTCTGGCCCAGAACAAGGAAACCGGCAGCTTGGGAGGGGGAGGAGTTGTGCACCCTGGGTCTGCGCTCCCCCAGAACAGGTCTTCTCTCCCCCACCCCCGTCTGGTGATGCTTTTATTCTGGAACGTGCCAGTTTTGCTCTGGCCGCAGCCAGGACTGCACGATCTGATTGGAAACAGGAGTAATCCTTTGATTGTAAAGATGAAGGAGGCCTTGGAGGAGTTCCACAAAGCCACACATCTCTGGCTAGATTTACAGAAGAGATTTAAAGTCCTTTGAATCGAAGTTAATATATTTCACAGAGTAAACGGTAAGAAAATGAAATGCTCCAAGAGTCACCGCTGCTAACCTTTAGCGTGGTGATGCTTTCTGTATTTTTTTTTTTTTTTGACTTTAAAAGGAGATGACAAGGCTGTTTTGTAAGAAAAATGAATGCATGTTCTTGCCTTTATTGACACGAGAGGAGAAATCTAGATGGAAATAGATTCTGGTTATGGCTGACTCCTACGCCATTCCCTCCCAAATTCGATGAGTTGGGGTACCTGGCCCCGGAAAGGTCGGGCAGTGCGCAGTTAATACTTGGATGTGTTCTCTTTATAAGGATTTAACACCGTACAGAGAAGACTGAAGTCCCCTTTGGCCCCTTCCTCCCTCTCGGTGCCTTCCTTGCAGAGGAGTCTAGCCAGTAGTTAAGGAAATGGGGAACTCCTCCCGGAGGATGGTGGCTGTCCCTGGTTGTGTAAATGCACGGTGTTACATTGTATGTTGTGAAAAGTTGATTTGTCTACTGGGTGGGTCAGGGCGTGGGATGGATCGCCTTCTTTTTAACTGTCTCCTGGTGCCCCATCTGACTGGCTGGTAGGTCTTCCAGGTTTCTCCGGGTGCAGAACAACATGACTGTTAGGAGCAAGGACTCTGAGCCAGATTTCCTGCCGGTCACTTAGAGCTTCCCGTCCTTGGGCAAGATGACTCAGCCTTTCTGTGCTTCGGAGGCTCTTCTCTCTCAGTGGCCACGAGCAGAGGGTTGCTGTGGGGGTGTAGCCTAGTTGGAAGGACACCCAGCACGTGGACTGTTAGCAGACGTCATCCCTCTGTCGCTGCCTGTGGACGGACCACCTTTTCCTCTTAGAAGCCCTGCGGTGGTGGTGAATAGGGCTGCCCGTCTGTCTGTGTGTGGGCGTGTTTCCGCAGGGCGCGTGTGCAAGAAGGAGTCCGAGAAGTGGGCTTGCTGGGGAGTGTGCATTGCGGGTAATTAGCAGGCCCTGCCCCGCTGCCCTCCGGTGTGGCCTCTGGCCTTTTCCGTCCCCAGCACCAGAAGAGGAAGGTCGCCTTGAGCAGGGCTCACCCTTTCTGTGCTCTCTCCGCAGGGCTTCGTGCTGGCAGTCACCGTCATCCGAGAGGCCGTAGAGGAGACCCGATGCTATGTGCGGGACAGGGAAGTCAACTGCCAGGCCTACAGCCGGCTCACAGCGAGAGGTCAGCCTCCTGGCTCTGCCTGGGCCACCTCCTGCCGCCTGACCTTGGGCCGCAGGGTTGCAACTCTCATCATGGGCTGCTGAGAGTCAGGAAGCAGAGTTCAAGGCCCAGGGCCCGTGGGTGTGCAGACAGGACAGTGTGTGGTGGGGCAGTCACTCAGTTGCTGGGACCAGGGAGACCAGGATGTGCCTGGGGCTGCCACCGTCTCTCTCAGAGCCAGGCCTGTGGGCTAACTTGTGCATCATCAGGCTGGAATGAAACTTTGATCATTGGGCACCCTCTTCTGGCTAACCCTGTCCCTTTGCCTGTCCCTGTGCTGACTGTGGAGAGGAGGGAGCTCCTCTTGTTCAGGTGGAGGCTACAAGGTCTGTCCTACAAGCTGTAAAAGATACTCTTTCAACATTACAAAATGCATGCTACAATTTTGCAACATTAGTTTTTAAATAGGCACCAGATTTATATAAACACTGCATCTGTGAAGATTTCCTTGAAAGGCATTAAATCCTGAAAATTAAGGTGGGGAGTGTATATAGTCAGACCGAAGGAGAAGTGACTAGATTGCCTTTAATCATTGAATCCCTTGCAAGATGTGTGCATTTTAAATTGGTGGAATTAAAAAAAAAACAAACACCCAAACACCCCATGAAAACCCACAAAGCAACTCAGCCAATGTTGACTTCTATTTCAAGTACAAATTCTACAGGAGATTACCTGTAAGGATGTGTTTAGGAATGAGAGCATGTTACCTAAAGTTCCAGAAGATGGCTGATCCCACTCAGAGCTTAGTAATGTTTTGGGAGCAGCAAAAACCTGTGCCTTACCTTCAGGTTGTTCAAAATGCTGAAAAAGATGAGATGTTTCAGGGAGGGCGTATCTGAGTCAAGTGTGAACTGCTTTCCCATGTTTTAATCTTCCCAAGAAAAGGCATCCACATGTGGTTTCAGGGTTTTGCACAGAATTTCCCTTCTAGGAACAATGTTGGAGGAATATGTTTTAGGCTCAAAAAAAATTAAAAAAAAATTTCCCAAGGGCATGAATGTCTTTCGTTTTAGTGCATTTAAATAGATTTTCATAGTTGGTGGTCTTAACATTTCGCAAGTCTCTTGGAGAAGTGCGGGATGTAGAGTTGGTATAAAAATGCTTTATTATCCCTAAACTACTGTATTTAGGACATTTTGCTATGTGAAGAAAGAAAGCCCAGCATAATCTTTGCAAAGGCAGGTGGCTTGGGCTTTCCACGTGGGTAATCAGAAGACCACTCTGCAGGGTGTTTTTTGTGGTTTGTGTATATTAAATCCTCCCTTAATAACATATTCTGACTATAACATTTAAAATGCTAGGCAACCGACAAAAGCCCCATTAGGGAGAGGGTGCGGTGGATCTCTTTAGAGGGATTCCATTCATTCATCTATCCAGGCTCCAAACCTTCTTTGGTTCTTTTCATATTGCAATTGCTTTTCCCGTGAATGATTTTTCTGCCCTCCCCTGCATACCCTCTTCTCAGCTCCCGCTTTATCTTCACTTGGTTCTTGGAAAGATCCTAAGGAGAATTGGCAGATGGCTCTAGCATTAAAAACTTGTCTTCCTTTGTTGGTCTCCTTTTGTGGTCCATGGTTTCCATTGTCATGCCAATGCGACAGTAGGGGAAACCGAGCGGAGTTCTGAATATTAACCCAGCCCCTGCTCGGCCCCGATTGTTTTGAAAGCCCCCAAAAAAGCACTGAAGAAACTGTCAGCTCAGAAAGTGATCGAGGTGCTTTTAGTTATTTGATACACTTGAAGGCAAGGGGTGGGGGAGGGCCAGAGTAGGAAGCCCCAAATGGAGGATTTCAGAGAGAGGAAGAGAAAGAAGCCTTTTTTGACCTGTTTAATTACTTACTAATTTTCTTGAGTGAGGCTTTTCACATTTAGTAAGTTTAAATGCGAAATGAAACATGTATACATGTATACATGTATCCACCCATGTGGACCGGTTCCTTTTGTATCACATGCTGTCTTCAAATGTATTTTCCAACACAGTTTTTAGAGTTCAGAAACCTTTAGAAACCAGAATATTGAATCCTTGATCACTAGATGCCGTGATGTTTATCTGCATTCTGCATCATTTCCAGGACTTGTGCTGATAAAATTTTAAAAATGGGCGGGGGGGATAGTGATTTCTAACTAGGAAAAAAGTTACAAAAATCCTGTGGGGGACTCCAAATGTTAACATTTTTCCATGTTTGCTTTTTAATAGTTCCTCCCTCCCTGGAGAATTAAGTTGCAGGCATTATCCCCTTTACTCCTAAATACTTCCACGCTTAATTCCTCATAGGGCATTTCTCTCACATAACACGCTACAATGATCAAAATCAGGGAATTCAACATTGGTACATTACTATGAATCCAGTCTACAGTCCTTACGCAAAATTTGCCATTTGTTCCTGAAAACATGTCCTGTGTTTTTGTTTTTTGTTTTTTCCATCCCCGAGCCCCCAGCATCTAAAATATTCTGTTTTTAACAACGTTTTTTTCCCAGGTACAGAAATCAGGATGGGTTTTCCCAGTGGCATTTAATTGTCCTTGTTCCTTAATTTCCTCTAGCCTGGCATAGCTCCTTGGTTTTCTTTGATACGATGTTGACATTTTGAAAAGAACTGGCCAGTTTCGGGGAAGTTGCTTTGTGGCTTGTCCCTCAACTTGTGTTTGTCTGATGTGTCAAAATTAGATTCAGGACATGCCTTTTCAGCAAGAGTTAATATAGTTTTAGGAAGGCCAATGTCCCAAGTCTTGTTGGGACTTGACCAGAGTTTTAGAGACATTATGGTAATCACGTTGAAAAAAAAATTCCAAACTTCAAGAAAAAAGTGGATTTTAAACAACTAAAAATCCTGAAAGTAAGGCATCATCATGTGAGGAAAAATGGATGATAGTTTTTTTGTTTTGATTAATAGCTACTTCCATTTAGATCATCTTATTTCATTCAAATAATTTGTTACCTAAAATAACACACCAGTTAGATTAATTTTTAATGTCATTGTCATGGTTTAATAGGAAATATTTGAAGTCTTTTATTTTGTTATTAAATTAAAAATTTTTTTTAAATGATTTTATTTATTTGACAGAGCACAAGTAGGCAGAGCAGCAGGCAGAGGGAGAGGGAGAGGCGTCCCGTGTTTGAAATATTTTAATATGTCATGTCAAAACCACTTTTTCTTTTCTTTCTTGAGAATTTTTTTGACCATCACACGTCCGAAGTTTACAGTAGGCTTCCGTATTACAGAGATTAACCCAAGGAGCCAGGGATTCTGGGTGAAGTGTGCAGACATTTAAATACATAGTTGAAAAATGCAACTAATAATTATATGTCCGGGGTAGGAGTGGGGCGTCTGTCATAAAGACTGTCCCTTTTCTTGATCGCTGCATTCCTGGTTCTGAGCACAGTGCCTGGCAGTTGAAGAAAACGGTTCTGAGCCTGTGCCCTGCCTGGACCCAAGTGTCCTGCTTCCCCCTGCACCCAGCTCCATGGGCAGGTCCTTAACCTGTCAGTAAATTGGGGTAGTAATAGTGCCTACCTTAGAGTTGCTCTAAATATAACTCTTGGATGAGAAGAACATAACACTGTGCCTGGGATTTGGTGTGGGCTCAAGAAGGCCAGTGGTGATGGTGTTGTAACAGTGGTCCGTTAAACATTGGTGGGGGTGGATAAATAAATGGGGGTATGAGCCAGGGGTCGTGGGAGGTTATGGGAGCGAGTCAGAGAGGAGCTGCTCGGTCTTCTCAGAAGTGACCTTCATCTTAAGTCTTACAGGGTGGAAAGAAGCAGGATTGGTTGCATGTTTGTGGTACGTGGTGCAAAATGAACATGGGGGGCCCTTGTTCAAAAATTAAGAATTTCAAGATGGCAGCAGGCATGCATGGAGCCCAGTCTAGGACCCTTCTGAGCTTGGGGCCCTGTGCTAGGACCCAGAGAACACAGGCACAAAGTGGCCCTGGGGAGGAGTCTCCGAAAGGCCACGGGTGTGATGGCTGGGAGTGTGGGGTATGTACCCCAGGTTCAGGCTCTGTGTTGTTCTTCCCACTCAGGCCGAGTTTCCTGAGTCTCCCTCCTGGGAGAACAGAGGAGAAGACCGTGCAGGCCAACGAGGGCTGACACTGTGGCAAAGTCCGTTCTGTGCTCTGGGAATCTGTATACAAGGTGTGCTAGGGAGGAGATGGCATTGGAATTTGAGAAATTCTGTCGAAATTGGAAAACTGTAGAAAAAGATGAATGATTACCCACCGTAAGCCAGCAGGTACCGGGCAAGGTCTGGCGTGTAATTTCTTAAATAGCTGTGTGGAGGTGCCTTTTACAGATTGAATTGAGAGGCTCAGGGAAGGGGCTGTGTTTCAGACGGTGTTGCTAGGTGGGGGACAGGGCTGTGACTCGAACCCCGGCCTGTCTGAATGCACATCTTTAGCCTGTAGGTCTGGGTACCTACCATGTGCCGGGAGCTGGGCTCAGCACTTTCACACAGAATATCTTACCTATAGTGGTGATATTCATATTCAGCCTTAAGATGTGTGCTACAGGAGGGCTGGTAGGTTTAGATCATTTTAAAGAATGTTTCTGAGTCCAAAGGAATTTATTAATACAGCATCCTCATTCTGTTTCTTTTTTAATTTTTTTTAAAAAAATTTTAAATTTTAAATTTAAAAAAAAATTAAAAAAATTTTAAGATTTTTTTTTTAATTTTTTTTAAAAAGATTATTTATTTATTTATTTGACAGAGAGAGATCACAAGCAGGCAGAGAGGCCGGCAGAGAGAGAGGAGGAAGCAGGCTCCCTGCTGAGCAGAGAGCCCGATGCGGGGCTCGATCCCAGGACTCTGAGATCGTGACCTGAGCCGAAGGCAGAGGCCCAACCCACTGAGCCACCCAGGCGCCCCAAAGATTTTATTTATTTATTTGACAGGCAGAGATCACAAGTAGGCAGAGAGGCAGGCAGAGAGAGAGGAGGAAGCAGGCTCCCTGCTGAGCAG